AAGCATTAACAACAACAAAGTATCGAAGTTACAGCAGAGTTTAAAATTTTGAAGTATGACAAGAAAAAAAAACTGAATAATAGCTGGTAGCCTGATTTAAAACAAATAATAACTAACTTATAGTCAATAATTGTAAATGATAAAATAGCAGCAACACCTACGATAATTGCAAATAACAAAGACACCAAAAAAATTCTCTTTAACATCATGATTATTTCAGTGCTGGACAAAAGGAATGAAACATTTGTCAGTATGCCCCAATCTAATGTTATTGCTTAACTATAGAGATTATCTGATCAACCTGGGAAAAGAAGATATGAATTCAAAAAGATGACCGGTGTCCCTTTGCTTTTGTGCCCCTAACAAATTATATATGTCCATTACTATTGTTCAAACAACCAGTTCTCTATTGTTTTATAATATGTAATTGTTTGCCCAAGTTAAGGGGTCACCATGTACTTGCAACTGTAAAGATCAGTCCAGTTCACAAGGAAAGAGAAAAACCAGGTCAGTGTCTACAAATTATGGAATAAGAGCAAGCATCTATCTAGTGAAATCGGACTGCTAAACGGGAGGCCATAATATACCTACTTCAACACACAAAATGCTCATGTATGTGTAAATGACAGTGATTTAACTCTATGGAAGATTTTAGACACCCCATTTGATTTTGTATATCTTCTCAATTTAATCTGAACCCTAACACCTTTAAAAATGAAGTACCTAATTGGACAATTGATTGATCCAACCTGCCTTCAGCCTATCACAATCCACTGTAAAAAGGTCGTACCCAGTGCACAAGGCTCCCGCTTTACGCAGGGTCTGGGAGAGGTGAATGTCGGCTAGCCTTACCCCCATTTATGGAGAGGCTGCTCCCAAGTCTCGAACCCGAGACCTACCGCTCATGGACGAAGGCACTTGCCATCGCACCAAGTGCGACCTCACAATCCACTGTAAACTACAAATAAACAAATAAGCCATGCAACAAAGATTACTGGTCCCCAACATTTAGCATGTCAAATTATGAAAAATTTAGACAGAGAACTCAACTAGTGAACTGAATCTTAATAAGTGTCACACACAAAATGAAGACACTAATATTGCACAACTAACCAATCTGAACCCTTCGAGATGTCGTGAATAACATTAACAAACAAATCAACCTGCTGAATTGCACAAGAGTTATTGGTCCTCAAAAACTGAATAGAATATATCAGATGGGCAGTATTTAAATACGAGATTTGGCAATGACTTTTAAAAAACAAGAATTCGAAAAAGCCAAGAAATCTGTCTAACCTCACAATAGATTTTCTTGGACCAGAAATCTGCTGGGTCTCACTAGAAACTGAAATAGGCTTAGCATCCATCATTTCATCATCGCTTTGAACAGTAGTACTGAGAGGAATAGAGTTTTCATCATGTTTAGAAATCAGATGCTTTCTTCTAAGTGCTGTCTTGGCTTTCTCTCGAGAGCCCCATCCATTTGCCATGACACTCATATTTCTCCACTTATCCTACCCATGACGATACAAAATAAAATAAAATACTCCATACGAACACAGACCAGCAAATAGTTTCAAAAATCTATTAAAGAATTGATAAAAGCATCGGTACACTTCATGTCCAACAAAATGAGTAGTACAACAAGTATATAGTGTTAAAAGAACCCTACCTTAAGATCTACATTTGAGCGAGTATACAGAACGCCACTAAATTCTGGATCTTTAAGTATGGTCCGCCATTTTCCTGCGCCATGTTTAATAACTCCAGCTTTAAGGGCTGATTCTTCTTCTGCCGTCCATTTCTGCTTAGGAGCACCCATAGGGGGTAACACAGACAAACTCCGCCACAGAATCAATCTGCAAAGCCTTGGTGAAAAGCAGAGTAAACGAACACCAGTAATTATTATTATTATTATTCAAACCCTAAAAGGCTAAAAGCATCCATAGCAAATTTCAACAGCCGAACGTGAAATTTCCATACCACACAAACACAACAAAATCTAAATTCCCAGCATTTATTCAAAAGGAAACCCAATACAAATCAATTTCCCAATCAAATGTCACGAATTTGTTCAAATCACCTCGAAAATCCACGAATCCAGACAATAAGAATCGAAATTACATGAAGGGATAGGGAAAATTACCAGAAATCGGCGTCGGATTCATCGAATTTTAATATGAATTCGATTGCCAAGTTTAAATTCAATTCGGTGTTGAGGGCTCTGAGATTTGATTTGAATTCGGTTCAGAGGGTCCCGGGGAAGGTGAAGGCGTTGGTCGCTGCTCTCTCGCGTCCACCTGGGATTTTTGCGGGTCGACACGAAAAATCAGTTTCAGGCCTTGCTGGCCAAAGAGTGACATGCAATTTCGGTTGTGCTCCGTTATGGTAGTAGTGACGTATACAAAGGGCACGCATATGGGGCTCCGGAGCTACTTATTTTTCAAGTTGTGTGTGTGTTTTTTTTTTTTTTTTTTTTTTTTGAGTGGAGAAGGGTGATTCAAATTTAAATATGTTGAAATATTATTACAAAATTGAACTAGTCAGAGAAACGCTCCAATTCTGATATCTATATTATTGTCCATTATGCGGGTTTAAAGTACAGATGTGATGCCTTATAATTTATATAAGTCGTCAAATTATTATTTTGAAATTTTGTGAATTCAGTTAACTTTGAATTACCGTTGTACCAACAACAAAGAAAAAAAGGGCACGAGTGGGGGTAGCGTGTGACATCCCACATCGTCCAGGGGAGTGATCCTTAAATGTATATTTCCATCCCTACTTAGCACGAGGTCTTTTGGGAGCTCACTGGCTTCGGGTTCCGTAGGAACTCCGAAGTTAAGCGAGAAGGAGGCCAGAGCACTCCCAGGATGGGTGACCCACTGGGAAGTTGCTCGTGAGTTCTCAGAAACAAAACCGTGAGGGCGTGGTCGGGGCCCAAAGCGGACAATATCGTGCTACGGTGGTGGATTGGGCCCGGGAAGTGATCCGCCCCGGGCCGGGATGTGACATAGCGGGTGGAAGGCGCGAACCACAATTTTGGCGGTTCAATATTATCACCTTTATATGCTGAAAACAAAATTAATTATAAAACGAAACAACGAGGACAACCGAATGTCATAATTGTTTTTATTATCATCATCACCATCATCATCATAATTTTTATCCTTCATTTCTTCGCAAGGTAAAAGTATTTTAAAAAATTATGAAACTTTTTTTTGTTTTTGCCAACATTCAAATGTATTTCGTAAAGAATTACAATATGAAATCTTAACCACAAATTTCCAATTATAAGATTAAGGATAAACTCAAATGTCTTAGGTTAGAATCAAATCAATTGACACGGTTAATTAAATGACATTCAATTGAATCGAATTGATAAGGAATGTACAAATATTGAATGACACGATTAATTTGAATGACATTCAACGGAATTGAATTGATAAGGAATATACAAATATTGAATTTTAATTATAAATTTCCTATTATAAATGCAATGATAAACTCAAAAATTTAAGGTTAGTGTCACATCATTTGACAAGATTAAATTGAATGACAGAATCAAATTGATAAAAAAAAAAAGGAACTTTAACGAAAAGCACCCGGTACTGTTCACTTTAACGAAAAACCACATTTTTACACTAAAAAGTCAATCCTGGTACTATTCACTTTACCCTTTATTTTGTCCTTATCATTAAAACTCAAAGTTTTCAAGCCCTTTTCATTAGTTTTCCTAAAAAAAAATTGTACAAATATTGCCTCTTTATCATAAAATTTCAATTATATGATACAAGGATAAACTCAAACATCTTTAAGTTCATGTCAAGTCATTTGACATGGTTAATTTGAATGACATTCAATTGAATCAAATTGATAGGACGACGACTAAGGCATCCAAAGTATCAATTTTTATTTTATATTTAGTTGAGGAGAGGAAGGCAATTCAAACTCAAGACTTATTTAACTATCGTTTGTGATCACTTAGGCCTCATTTGTTATGCTGTATTAAACACCGGATAAAACTATGAGAAATTTTATTTGAACTCATGTAACTTCTTTCTACACCCAACTTACTCTATTCACCCATATTATTTTTTTATTAAAGAATTAATCTCTCTTTAAACCCAAATTTATTACCTAAACTACACTCCCAAATCCAATTCAAAATGTTAAATTATCTTTACACCAATTCCCTTTATAAAATAACATCTGTAATTGATTTTTTTTTTTTTTAAAAAAAAAAAGAGGCATCCTTGCCCCACCCCCTCTTCCCACTAGCATTTCCATGGCTACCTTTTTTTTTTCTTTCTACTACCAAACCCAAACATTTGCCTTTTTTTATTTCTACTGATGTGCATAAGCAATAAATCAAACCATTCATCCCCTTATATTTATCAATAAGCAAAGAAGTTTATAATCTAAGAATATTGGTAAGAAGTTTTTTCTTAGAATTTTCCAATTGCAGAAAGTTTAACAAACCATTCGGGATTGATGAAAAAAATTGAAACCCAAATATTGATCTTCTAAACTTTAAAAAAATTGAAATCAAACAAACAAAATATTCATAAATTGAGGCATACCTTAGTTGGAGGATTCAAAACTTCAAAATCACCATCCATCAATATAAAAACTTGTTTTTCTCCACAAAACCTATTAGGGTTTTAGCTAGAATGAATGTAGGATAAACAATAAGTGATGGTAGGGTTTAATGGGTCTATTGATAAATTTGGGTTTTATTATTAATTTCATTTTGTACTTAATAGTAATTATACAATAGAATAAAATAGATAATTAACAATTTAAATTCAAGTTGAGCAAAAAAAAAATTACATAAGTTCAAATAAAATTTCTCTAAAACTATTTAATATGAACCTAGTGTTTGGTACTGTTATGAATTAAATTGCCGCCAATTAATTTATCAGGGCCCACCTGTTTTATCTGCCTCACACTGTATAACTTATACGCTACAAATCGTCAGCATTATTTAGTCGGGTTCTGAAAAAACGCTAAAACAAAAACTCACGCTCGCTCTTTCCGAAACCCTTCTCTCGCGATCTGCTTGTGCGGCCATCTTCTTCTCCAACTGAAAGTATTCCTTCTTCTTCTATTTCTCCATCTCTCTGGATTGATTTCTTAAGTTCTTGTAACTGCCTTTTGGGTTTTCTTCATTGCCATCACCAAGAACTTGTCTTTTTTTACTGCAGACTTCGTCAAAGCTTTACTTTTTGGATAAAAAGCTTGCCTCTGTGATGGGTATTTGAGCTTCTGCCTTCCTAGGTTATAATCAAAGTGAATCTTCATCTAATTTGACATGGGTATTCGATTTCAACGACCGCGTCGGTGCTGGCCATGAAAACCCAGAACCCAACCACGACCAGCGTCCACTGCTTCACGGTGGTGTGTTGTAAAACCAAAAAAAAAAAGTGTTGTTGTAGAATTAGTGAAGGAATGCGATAATAATTCTGCAATCCGTCCAAGACCCAATTCTGTAATCCTTCCAATTCTGCAATTTCTCATACGAGCTCAAGTCTTGCAATCTCTTATTGAGTAAATCTTGCATCTCTCGTTGTGTGGAGATGTTTTAGTTGCTGCTGCTGCTGCTGAGCTCCCAAAACAATTGGGTAATCACCATTTTTCTTCCTTTTTTTTAACTTTTTTATTTTCCTTCCAATAACCAAGATTTGCTCTGGGGCGGAGGCGAAGTCAGTTCGTGCTTGCATATGGGTATTTTGGATTGAATAAGTTTTGTTTATGGTGATTGTGGTTGCAAATTGGATGATTTTGGATTGAATAAATTTTGGCATTGGGCAAGTCATGGGGTTTGTGAGTTGTCTTGGGTTTTGTTTTTCATTAATCATCAAATTTTCTCATATTATTTTGAATTCATCTTATCTGGTGCAGTATCAAGTATAATATAAATAATACGATCATTAGTTCGATATTATATCAAACGGTCGACTAATTTAATTAGTATTATCTGTCATTTATCTTATTTGACTGAAATAGTCAGTATAATCCGAACTACTAAACGAGACCTTAGAGTCTCTCTTCCATCAATAGGAACTCCCAACCCTTTGACCACACGCCTTAGCATAGCCTTTGCCTCATGAACATCCACAATGAATTTAGTGTGCTTTGGTAAAACTTATTGAAATCGGAAGTCGTTTAGTTATTTAATTGTGACCTGATAAATAGACGAACATAATGTTATTAATAAAAAAGAAATTTTCACAATAATAAATATAGTAACAAACAATTTTCGATTTAAGTGAATAATTTTTACAAGGATGACCTATGATTAATAATGACCTAAAAATAAATATTTTAGATTACAAGAAGCATTGTGAAGCATGCCCGAGCAAGCGGTTAATGTCGTATTAATTAAATTACTAATTAGCTTTTGAGAACTCCGGTGTTATTATTTTTATCTTTCATTTCTTCACAAAGGGGATCATTTTTGCTCACCATCATAAACTATGGTGTATACCTACCATACACTTAATCAATTGACACGTGTCATTTCACTTAATCTTTGTTAATTTTTTTCAAAATTGAAAAACTAACATTTAATGTGAAAGTTAACTAGAGTTAGATGAAAGAACACGTGTCAATTGATTAGGTGTATGGTGAGCATACACCATAGTTTATGGTGGTGAGCAAAAATGCTCCCCTTCACAAAGTATGAAAAGATTTTTGATAAATTCAAGTATAATTTATGGGAGGCTACAATACTTACATATATTTTATACAATCATCATCTGACGGTAATATATGCACATATGAATATATGTATTTAATACAATCACCATCTAACAACAATGGTGAAGCCAGAAATTCTCAAGGGAAAGGGCGAAATTTAAAAAGTTTAGGGTCCTGGAAAAATGTGAACATTTATTCGAGGTCAAAGTCCAGGATTTGCAATGTGACAACCCGTTCTTAATTTTACGTTTTTATTAAATTTAAAAGTTTGAATTTACAAAAATGCCCTAGAGGTAAGGACTTTGACTTTCGTTTACCATCGTCTAGAGGAACGTATGACTTATTCTTTTAGCGTATCCTTGTAGTCCTTGTTGGTGCGAACGCATAAGCGAAAGCTGTTTGCGAGTCTGGATGATAACGGTATAGTTACGGACTTTTGAATTTGGTTATTTATATTTCAGTTTGTAAATTAATTTAACTCCTTTAAGGAAGTAGCCCAATCAAATTTTAGGCACAAAGGACCAATCACATAAAAGGAAGGAAAGCCTTCAGCAAATCAGAAAAGAAAAGAAAAGAAAAGAAAAGGGAGAAAGCTCCCAATTTCCCCGTCACCCACACCTCCGCGACCTCCCATTTTCCAAGGCCGATTCCGGCCAATTCCGGTGGAGTTTTTCGACTCACCACCACCATCTTGAAGCTCTCATTACCCTCTACAAACCCCAACTAAGAACTACCTTGATTAACCACTGTATGAGGCAGTTTGAGACCACGAAAGTCGACAGTTCTCGCAGTGCTCCAGCCACCATTTTCAATTTTCCAGCGAATTGGAAAAGCAATGGCGATGCCACCACTTGGGCTTTGTAGCCCATCATCCCAGGAGAAAATCCCAACCAACCTTGACCCTATTGGACCACCGTAGACGACGTCGGGAAGCTTTAGGCACCCGTCGGATTTGTGGGCAAAATTGACTATCTTCCGTCCACTTTTGGACTTCGTGGTAGGTATGAAAGTTGTTCCTCTCTTTGAGATCTTCATTTTTTGTGAATTTTGGTAATTTTTAGAAATAGTTGAATTTTTTGGCAAGTTGGGGTGGCCAACCGCCACCTGAGGCGACGCGTGGGCCGAGGGGTCCCTTGACCTTCCTAGGCTAAATTTGAATACCTTGGTTCCGTTTGTGAAGTCCGATTGACGAAATTCCGTCGTTTGAACTTAGTCCCATTATGGTCCGCCACTTGATTATTACAGCAACCGACGATCCAACCGTTGGATCGTCATTAAATTTTAATACATTATAGTGTGTAATATTTGAGGATATTAGAAACTTATGGATTGGGAATCTAAAGTACGAATCTTCCCAAATTGGAATTGTAAGTTCATAAAATAAAACATTGATCACCACTTGAATTGGCAATTGGAGGAGATCCAACCGTTGGATCGTAATGAAACTTTAGTATGATGTTTTAAAAGCACAATGTGGATATTTGGAAGTTACGGATCAGAAATCTGAGATGCGGATCTTCTGGATCGAGTTACGTAGGGTTGTGGACCCTACCGTCAATCTTTGACCAACGATTGACTTTTGGTCAATAGGTCCCAAATCATTCTAGAACGTCCTTGGGGATATGTTTTATGTAAGTTATGTGTTTTATCGATGAGAACTCTGAGATGTGATTTGATAATTGTAATAGGCGATGATGGTTCGTGATGTCTCGATTTTCGTGCTAGGGAGTCGTAGCACGTACCTTAGGTAAGTGGGTCTTTTCCTTTTATCGTATATAGATATGACTGATAATTCCACAAATGCTTTTAAATTGTTCTATGCATTTTATGCCATGTTATATATATATGTTAAAATACTATGGTATGGTTGAGTTTTAGATTGCATTATGGTATATCTATATGCATATTATCGGCATATAATTATTGTGAATGCTTTGAAGTACTAAGTTGAACTACGAATGGCTTGATCCCATTTGAGGGTACGTAGGCAGTCTAACAAGACAGTTAGATGCAGCCATAAAACAATCCAAATTTAACATGGTACTTGGTTTCTTTAAGGAAAGAAGTTATGATGGTTAACAATGTAGAGATTAACCATGATTTTATTCTGGTCTGTCACTGGGTTTAGTTATGATTAAGAATGTTGGGAAATTATAGTGGTTATGCCAAATGACGCTGCGGATGCCCCAGTAAGCTTCAGGTGAGTACATGTTGATGATAGTGATTTCAATGTGTATGGTTATGTTTTTATGCATTTAATGCTTATCATCTTGCACCTCAGTGTTAGTGCTCCACCCGAGGACAAGGCCTAGTCTTCACGTGATCGTAGCACTTGAGTGTATTTATTTACACCTAGCCTGTGGTACAGACCACATTAAGTGGTTCCGACTCATGTGCAGGAATTGGTAGATAATATATATAGGCGACTCCGACTTATGTGCTAGCATTGATTGATGAGATATAGATGAGTCGTACATGTCACTATAGGTGACTCCGGCTTATGTGCTAGCATTGATTGATGAGATATGGATGAGTCGTACAGGTCACTATAGGTGACTTCGACATATATGCTAACATTGATTGATGAGATATGGATGAGTCGTACAGGTCACTATAGGTGACTCCGATTTATGTGTTAGCATTGATTGATGAGATATGGATGAGTCGTACAGGTTATTATAGGTGACTCCGACTTATGTGCTAGCATTGATTGATCAATATGGATGAGTCGTACAGGTCACTATAGGTGACTCTGACTTATGTGCTAGCATTGATTGATGAGATATGGATGAGTCGTATAGGTCACTATAGGTGACTCCGACTTATGTGTTAGCATTGATTGGTGAAATATGGATGAGTCGTACAGATCACTATAGGTGACTTTGACTTATGTGCTAGCACTCATGACTTCAACTTATGTGCTAGCACTGATTGATGAGATATGGATGAGTCGTACAAGTCACTATGGGTGACTCCGACTTATGTGCTAGCATTGATTTATTGAGCACATGATTATTTATATTGCTCATGAGATGCTGTGTCGTGGCATATTTATGGATTTACTGTTGATATACTTTTGATTTTACATTGATACGTGGTATGATTTTTTTAAGCTATACAAGTGTTACAGCGGGTTATAACGATTTAGAAGGTTTTTATTGAAATTTTATTTCCAGGGCCACTCACCCTCGCTTTGTTTCCACCCTCCAGGTTTTTTTTTAGTTGAGCTTTCTTATCGACGAGGATTCGGGGCAAATTTTGGTATTGGAGATTACCTTCAATGGTATGATTCTCAATCCACTATACTGTACCTTACTTATGCTCTGACATCACATGTGAAATTGGTTCATTTCCGCTCACAGCGCACTATCATATTTAGACACATTTAGATTTAAATTTATTCAAATTTTCCCACATCACTATACTTTATGGCTTCGTCACCCTCTTGGTGTCGGCCAACACAACTTGATTTGGAGTCCTGATGTGAAAAATAAGTTAACACACAAAATTAAACCCTCTTTTTATCAATTGTAGCAAAGTATGTAAGTAGGGATCGTTCTAAACCGGGGATTAGGAGGGATTGCTAAACACTTGAAAACTGACTTAGAAATGTAAAAACAAAGTTTAAAACACTAGATTAGACTCAAAGAATGCAAAACTCACGTTTAAAATACTAAAATAAACCAATAACTCAAAATAGCAACTAAAAGACTCAAAACTGCCTTAAAAACACTTTCTGGACAGTTTTGAACACAAAGCACCAATTTGGACGAATTTGGGTTTTAACTTGTACCAAAACACTTAAAAACATAAACCAACACACTTTCTAACTAATCTAGGACTTCAAAATAAATGGGGAATTGACTTGGACGAAAATGAACTAAATGGACAGATTGCAAGGAAAACAGATTGTAATAGAAACAGATTGTAACACAAAGTTATGAATAATCAATGGATGATGGAATGGCTAAGGGGTTCTTCTCCACACATGAAATATATGCAACCTAAATTAATTTTCAGTTATCAATTTAATAAGTTATGAATCTCGACACTCCAAGTTAATTAGGTCCGCTTAAATTAACCTTCAGATTTCCCTAGAATCATTGAATTGG